GAAACAGTTTCTTTGGAGCTGAACTAACTCCAAAAAGTAGGCAAAATATTTTAAAACATTAGAGCTTGACTTGAATTCATTATGGCCATCTTTATCCTTTGAGGGATTTCCCTATAAACAATATTTGCATCTATTTTGCTGTTTTAATCATTGCCTTCTGGGCTTTGTTTTTTCCGTACCCTTCAGATAGTGGGTTTTAATATATATATATATATATATATATATATGTATGTAATGTGGGTGTGAGTTAGGAGCTGTATTATCTTGGTATTAGTTTAAGACAGAGTTGGAACTGCATTAAGAGATGAATGTTGCTTATAACATAGCATTATGTAAAAACATATTATCAAAGAGTTCTTCTATCTGCTTCATTTCCATGGTCTAGTATTAAACATAGGAGGACTCTTGGCCAGAAAGGTAGTTCAATGTCTACATTAAACCAAAGCCTAATGAGAACAGCTCTCCCACAGCAGGGATCTGTCACTTTGCCATTTGATCGCCTTCCCTCTTGTCTTGATTTTTTTGTCTGAAATGCTTTTGCATTTTTGTCCCATGTTGTGGAGTGCAGACTTTGTCTGGAATGACTCGTGGAAGAGTGAGCTCAAGTATCGGTTTCCCTTTTGCTCTATTTCACTGGGGCCACCTAAAGTTAGGTTCATTGTAATCAGCTGCCTCCTTCATCTCATTTAGTAATTCCTGAGGCTAAGAATTGCATATTGATGCACTGCCAAGGTTGCCTTGCCACATGTTCTGGCCAGATCTAGAGGATGTTGTCTCCTGTTCCCTCTTCTTCCTCGTTTAACCCCCCTCCCCCCAGATATCTGCTTGGACTTTGAAGTCAGTGGAAAATGGCTGTGCACTTGGGCTATGTTTGTAAGGATCTGCCACCATCAGTGTATGACTGATTTAAGTAATGAAAGCTTGTGGTTTTCCTCTCCTCGTAGCACGTGGAGTTGTGGGCAGGTTGTATCTACGGTTGCATTTTACGCGTAGGAACCCAGCTCTTCCCCAAGAGGTGCTCTCGTTGCCCTCAGTGTGGTTCATGGAGCTGGGGCAGAGTCCCTGGCTCTTGGGCAACATATCTAAGGTATCTTTGTCCCATTTTCTTTGTCCCTTTTTTTAAATGTGTGGATGTTTGTGGCGTGTGTTTTTTGTTTTGTGGTGGTGGTGTTTGGAGGTTTTTTGGTTAAACAAAATCATCTTTGTCCAGATGCAAAGAGCTTTCAAGCATGCTTTAATTTCAAGTTTCACCTGCTTTATCTGGCTGGCAGGACTCAGCAGGGAAGCACATGTACAGAAGATAATTTTCTTTGGGTCACCAAAGGCTGGATTTCTCCCCCTTTTTGGGGATCTAGAAGAGACTGTTACTGATAAGCATTTCAGCTGAGGCTGTTGGAAGGGATATGAAGTAAGATCTGGCTGTAATTCTGTAATGTTGTGCACAAATATTAAATCAATCAAATTCTCCTTTTAACCGTTTTTAATGCAAACGGCCCCGAGTCCTTCAGTGGCTGGGAGGCCTGGTCTTTATCTCCCAGTCCTATCAGTAGCTCTACTGACGTAAAAATCTAGTGCTGCCAGGCCATGATGTCTCTCCGGTCTTGTAATAGAATTGGAACAAGATCTTCCCCAGTCTCCCTTTCTTGGTCTGCTGAAATTTTGTTTAAAAGTTATATCCTTCCTTGTCCCAAAAGACCCAAGGTATGGACTTTGCATCTTAAAGTTGTGAAAGAGGTTAAACAGAGGCAGAACAAATGTAAAAATGTACCAGGAACTGGTTAGCATATAGATGATTGGATCCTGTCAAAGGATTGATGATTGATGAAAAGATGATTGATCCTCCCCTGTCAAAGATACGGCCTCAAGTGGGCCACAGAAACTTGAGCTTGCATAAAAATTCAATTGAAGTTTAACAGACCTAGCCGGAAGTTTACTTTGTAATTAAGAAAGAGCTGTGCTTGCTTTCTCTAATTTATCCAAATAAAATTTATTTTTCAGTCAGAAGTAAAACGCTATTTAGTAAGCATCCAAGGAAGAAAAATAACTCCTATACTTTTTCAGGAAAGCTTTAAAGTGAGTTTAGTCTCATCCAAAGAAAGAGATCCAGACGAAATATAGGCGGTTGCTCTAGTGTTGTGCTGCCAGCCCAGCTGCTATCCCGTGTCATGGCCTAATTTAAAGCAAAAGCTCCAGAAATCCTGGCCCAAATTACTCATCCGCTTTCATGTTGTCATAGGAAGGGCATCCGTGTGCCACAAGGGGTCAGGCTTATTTTTGAATTCACCTTGGGTGAGCTAACTGTCACCCTGCCAAGAGAAAGCGGTGCTTCTGAGTTTTGTCCTATTGTTCACCTACCCTCCGGGTCTTCCCTAGAGCCCTGCAAGGTGGAGAAAGCTTCCTCGGAGGCGGTGATTGCACAGACAGCACATCTGTCTCTCTCAGCTAAATATCAGGAAATATTCCTCCCATTCCATCTTAGATTTGCCCATTTGCTGAATGAAATCATCAACCTGAAGATGGAGGAAGCTCAGCGGCTGGTAAGGGTCACTTTATGCTCCTTTTCTCTCACAACTGCAGCAGTGGGAACCACCTCTCATTGGGGAAACTGTGCTTGAACCTTAACCTTCCTGTCACTAAGGGGGATGCACTATGGTTGTGGTAAGCGTAGTCATGATCTCAGCACCCAGGTGAGGGCACTTGCATATATGTACTACCTTTGACCGGGCAGCAGTACGTTTCCTTTCCTATATAGGAGTGAAATCATGCTAGTAAGGTCAAGCTATTTAAATCGTGATTATCTGTTGTATAGCCAGCATGCTCAACTGTTTTTCTGCCCTTTGAGGAAAATCTCACACTTTCTGTAGGAGATGACTTACTAAACAGGAATTAAATTTTAATATTTTTTCTCATTTTTATATTTGTTTCTTAGGTTACAGTTCTGAAAAGACTGCTAGGAAGGCTCTGGAAATGGGATCTCTCTTTCACCTCAACCAAAAGCAAGAGGCAGCTGAATTAGTATCATGAAAACTCTAGAAAAAAAGGGTGGAGAAGGAAAACTATGGCCAACTGTTTGAACACAAGGTTAAAATTGCACTCTTTTGTGGTGTGATGGAGGAAAAGGAGCCTAAAATCAGTAAGGCTAATGGCTTTTCCTATGTGTCACTTTTTTCTGAAGCACCTCAAAGGGGCTTTTCCAAATACTAACTCACCCCTACAACAGCCCATTGAGGTATCTGTCTTATAGAAGGAGAAGTTGTGGCGCTGAAGCACAGCGACATTTGGTGTCAGGGGCTAGGAACAGGGCTATGGCTTTTCACTGCAACCCCCTCTTCGAACCAGCATAGCCCCCCAGCCCCAACAAACACACATACGTGTACTGGCACACTGCAAGCAACAGAACAGTTTCCCGCCTGGGCTAGGAAAAGAAACAAGAAGTCTTTCTCATCTTCTTTGAACCATATCTTCTCACGCTAGCCTCTCAGCGCTGCAGAAAATTCATAGTGAGAGATTTTTTTCAGCCTGCCCCATGCTACACACAGACTAATGCCTTTGAGATGTTTGTTTGAACCCTCAGAGTAATCTAGGTGTTAAAGTCAGCAGTTGCTACCTGTTTCAACAGAGCTGTTTGGGAAGGTCAGCACGGACACACACCCAGGGTAAGAACTCAAAAGAGTCAGTGAAATAAACTGTGACTTATACTGAAAGGTCTTGGCAGGTTTGAACCTGCCTTCCCTGGGACTCTCCTCTCACTTTATTTTGCAATTTATTGCTTGGGAGGTTTCCTTCAGCCTTCCTTCACTGTGCCTCTTCTCTTGCCCCCTCTGCCCCACAAAGGTTCCCCAACATTCAGGACAAAAAGGAGTCATGATGCTTTTTGGGCAGGTAACCAGGGCGATTGGAGTACCAGGCCTGCTGGGCAGGCTGTGGTGCTTTCTTGCCCTGCAGGCTAGTCATCCAGGTGAC